AGGGAGCAGGAAGCTGGTGGGAACCCCAGAATTTCTTCGAGCCTGAGCGTTTCTTATTCTTCAAGAATTGTCGGGACGACAATTTATAAGAGGAAGGGCAATGTTATGCCCGAATCGTGTCGTCCGTTACGCCTGCGATGAGTCGTCGGCCGTTGCACGTTCCCGAAGAACGAAGAGCGCGTTGCTTGGCGACGAGCGCGGAGTTGTTAAACAACTCGAAAGAGAGTCTCCGTCACGAACGTACGTGTTTCTCTCTACGCGAGATATTTATCTGGTTATCACGCTTAATTGTATCACGCTGTAGTCCTGTGATTGTGAATAAACATCCGTTTACTTTTGTACTCACGAATGACTCATTTCGGCGAATCGGGAGTGCGGATCTCGTGAGACGGACGTAACATACTAGACGCACGGACGAACGTAACAATACTACACCTTTATGGCTGATGTTGGATTCACACTGAATCCGACGTGCGTCGTACGACGCTCTACAACCAATCAAAAACAGGATTTTGCTTCGCATCATCGGATCACTTGGCCGTCCGATTCTCTTATTGGGTGCATCCAGAAGTCAAGGTGGTGATCCCGATTGATCACGGCTCGATTGGACACCACCAATCACAGCGACCAGTGCTTAGGAGCTTTGTAGTCTCAAACTCTGTGAGTGGCTCGTGTCCAATTGAGCCGTGTCCAACTGGGTGCCACCCAATTTCAATGTCAAAACTTCATGTAGGGGATCGATAAACTAAGGAAAAAGGTTCTCGAGAGATATGCTCGTTTCTGCTTCGTTTTGAAGAAAATCGCAAAAAAGACAAAACATAGTTGCTTCGTTCTTGCACTACCTCCGTAGTTTGTAAGTTTGTTATTTTTAACTAAAATTCTTGCACGATTCACCTTTTCCCTTTTTCTCTCCAATGTGGAGGGAAAAGGAAGAAAAACGAACCGTACAAAAAGTTGAGCTAAAAAGGCCTATTATCGGGCGGTATTCATAGTCGTTTCTTATGGCTGCTTTCCTTTTAGGAGACACAAACCGACACAGTATAACACACTCAAACACAGTTTGCCACGCCTAAATGGAACGCGATATGTGCAGTGTGTGTATTGTGTGTACGAACTTTTAATACCTAACCTTAAAAGATTTGAATTTTGGCCTTAACGGACATACGAGATCCGATTATTGCAAGGAGTGATGTGTATATTTTCGAGTAAAGGTACATACTTTGCATCAATTGATGGAAGTTTTCCAAAAAAAGATCTAACATCTTACAAGTTACAAACTTTTCAAAATTATTTTTAAACTTTACAGGTATTTATAAATATTGTATATCAAAATTTTTATCAAATAAAATATAT